TTTAGAAACTCAACTCACAACAGGTGTGGTGGCTTTTGCCTATAATTCTAACTAATCAGGAGGCAGAGATGAGGCAGAGATCAGGAGGATTGTGGTTTGAGACCAGCCCAAACAAAAAGTTATCAAGACCCTGTCTCAACTAATAAATCTGGGCATGTTGGAGAGTGCCTGTCATCCCAGCTATTCTTGAGGTATAAATAGGAGCATCATGGTTGAGGCCAGTTTGGCAAAAAGTGTGGAACCTATTTGAAAACTAACTAAAAAAGCTAAAAGAGCTGGGATGTGTGTGGCTTAAGTGGCAGAAGTCAATGATTCAACCTCGACTTCTTCTCTTACCCAGGACCTCAAAGAGTAGATTGAGCGCTTACAAGTATTTTCTCGACCCATTTCAGTATGGATAGTTCAGACTTGATCTGTAATACCAAGAACATTTTGTGTGTTGTCACCCTGGTAATGTTTTCCAGTTTTCTCCTTCCTCCTCCACTTTCTCACTCCTCCTTGGCCTGCCCTTTTCCTCTCCAGGTTCTACTGATCTTCCCCCCAGCATTATATTACTTCATATCCTTTTGATGCCTGCTGCTGTGATCCTAATCTCTCTGTTTTTCAACTTGTCTCTCAATTATTAGGAGAGTTTCCCATCTGACTTTCCCACCTTGGTCACTCTCCTTTCTAGCTAATCCTGATGCCATCACCAGGAAATCTTCCTGCAACACTATCCAACCTCATTTAATCCTCTGCTTGAAGCCTGTAAATAACTTACTCATTACAGAATAAAATTGAAACCCCTTATCGGGCCTTTAATGGTGTCTGTGGTCTGACTCAAGCTTCCTTCTTCTAGTTGATTACTTGATTCCTTCTCTTCTCTTCTCTTCAGAACCCTGGCTTCAGCAAGACAGATTTACTCATCATCTCCCTTGCTTACACAGTGTCTCCCTAGAACGCATGCTTCTGCATACTGAATCTTGCCTAGTCTTAAAGACTTTTCCAAAATTAGATCTCCTGTGAAGTGCTTTTTGACTTCATAGAAGTGCCTGCCTAGCAAGCCTAAGGCCCTGAGTTCAAATGGTAGTACTGCTTTTTTAAAAAGTCAATGAAGCAGACTTGGTTTTTGAAAAGATAAACAAGATTGACAAATTTAGCTAAACTAATGAAAGAAAGAGAAGACACAAACAAATAAAATTCAACATGAAAAAGGAGATATCACACCAAGCACCAATAAAATTCAGAAGATCATTAGGAAATATTTCAAAAACTTATATTCCAAAAAACTGGAAAACTCTAGAAGAAATGGATAAATTTCTAGAGGGGTATGACCTACTGAAATTGAACCAAGAGTACATAAACAACTTTACTAGCTCTATAGCAAGTAAAGAGATTGAAGCAGTAATAAAGACTCTCCCAATAAGGAAAAGCCCAGGACCAGATGCACTCAGACCTTTAAAGGAAAACTGATGTAATGCTTCTCAAACTATTCCATTAAATAGAAAAGGAAAGAATGCTACCAAACTCATTCTATAAGGCCAGTATTACCCTGGTTCCACAATCAGATAAAGATACAACAAATAAGAAAATTATTCATTAATTTCCTTGATGAATGTAGATGCAGACATTCTCAATAAAGTACTTGCAAACTGGATTCAACAACACATTTAAAATATCATATACCATGATCAAGTTGGTTTCATTCCAGGACCGTAAGGATAGTTCAAGAATGTGCAAATCAGTAAATACACAAACAGAATAAAGGACAGAATTCATATGATCATAACAATGTATGCAGAAGAAGCCTTTGACAAAATTCAACATCCATTCATGATAAAAGCCCCAAAGAAACTAGGAATAGAAGGCATGTACCTCACCATAACAAGGGGTTTATGCAAAAAACCTATAGCTATAATATGCTAAACGGGGAAAAACTGAGAGTATTTCCCCTAAAGTCAATAAGAAGACAAAGGTGTCCATTCTGTCCACTCATAGTTAATATAATGCTTAGAGTCTTAGAGCAATAAAGAAAGAGAAAGAAATAAAAAAGAATACAAATATGAAAGAAGCTGGGCACAGTGACTCATGCCTATGATTCACTACTCAGGAGGTGGAGATCAGGAAGATTGTTATTTGAGGCCAGCCTGGGAAATAAGGTAGCAAGACCCCCTCATAAGCCAGTTATAGTATACATGTCTGTAGTCCTATGAACATGGGAGGCACAGGTAGGGGGATTGTGATCAGAGGCTATCCCTAGACAAAAAGTAAGACCCCCATCTGAAAAATAATTTAAAGCAAAAAAGGGCTATTAGCATGGCTCAAGTGGTAGAGCACCTGCCTAGCAAAGTACAAGGTCTTGAGTTCAAACCCCAGTACATCCAAAAAACAAATAAGAAAGAAGTCAAGTTATTCCTACTTGTAGATGATATAATCCTCTGCTTAAAAGACCCTAAAGACTCCATCAAAAAAAACTGTTAGATCTGATAAACACTTTCAACAAAGTAGCAGGATAAAAAATCAACATTAAAAAATCAGTAGCTTTTCTATACACCAGTAACAGACTGAGAAAGAAATCAGGAAAATAATACCATTCATAATAGCCTCCAAAAAATTCCAAGGACTAAACTTGAGGTGAAAGATCAGTATGATTAAAACTACAAAATATTGAAGAAAGAAATTATAAGACACTAGAACTTGGAAAGACCTCCCATGTTCATAGGTTGGCAGAATTAATAATGTGAAAATTGTTGTTATCACTGAGAGCAATCTACAGATTCAATGTGATAACCATCAAAAGTCCAGTGTCATTCTTCACAGAAATAGAAGATCAATCCTAAAATTCATATGGAAGCATAGCCAAGTAGTCAAAGCATTCCTGAGCAAAAAGAGTAATCCTGGAGGTTTCACAATACGTGACTTCAAATTATACTGTAAAGCCATAGTAACAAAACCCACATTGTATTAGCACAGAAACACACTCATAGATCAATGAAAGAGAACAGAAGACCCCCAAATAAGCCCACTCAATTACAGTCACCTGATATTTGACAAAGGTGCCAAAAACATACGTTGGAGAAAAGATAGTCTAAAATACGGTGCTGGGAAAACTGGATATCCACATGTAGAAGACTGACACTAGAGCCCTACCTATCACCCTGTATAAAAATCAACTTAAAGTAGATCAAATACCTTAATGTGTCACCTGAAACTTTGAACTACTATGGGAAAACACTTGAAGATATAGGCACAGGTGATGCCTTTCTAAATAACACTCCAGTAGCTTAGGAAAAATAGAAAATTACTGCATTAAATTAAAAAACTTCTGCACATCAAAGGAAACAATTATCAGAAAGAATAGACAACACACAGAATGAGAATAAAAATCTTTGCAAGCAATTCATAAAAGGATTAATATCTATGGTATATAAAGATTTCAAAAAATTAAACACGAAAATAACAAATAATACAATTAATAAATGGACAAATGACCTGAATAGACAGTTTTCCAAAGAAGTACAAATGGCTAATAAATACACGAACAAATATTCAACCACTTAAGCCATCAAGGAAGTACAAACCAAAACATAACAGAGATTTTTGTCTCATCCCAATCAGAATGGTTATCATCATGAAAACAAACAGCAAATGCTGGAGAAGACTTGGGGGGAAATGAACCCTATGTACTGCTAGTGGGAATGTAAATTAGTGCAGCCACAATGGAAATCAGTATGTAGGTTCTCACAAAACTAAAAATGGAACTACCATATGACCCTGCTACATCAATCCTGAGCACGTCTGATGGAATGTACATCAACATATATTAGAGATACCTGTAACCCATCTTTTTTGCTGTGTTATTCACAATAGCCAAACTGTGGAATCAGTATAGGTCCCCAACAATTGATGAATAGATAAAGAAAAGGTAGTGTTGTATGTAGTGGCATATTATATAGCCATAACGAAAATGGATAGAACTGGAGCTAGTTATGTTGAGCGAGCTAAGTCAAGATTCAGTTATCTACAGAATCTAGATCATGCATAAAATCATAATAATAACACATGTAGGGTGTAGGAACTACAGGACCAGGGAGGGCAAAAGGAGAGAGTGATGGGGATGGTGAATGTGATCAAAGCACTTTATATGCACACATGAAAGTAGAATTATGAAGCCCGCTAAAGTTGTATGAAATGTGGATGGGGATAAGGAGTAATAGTGGGAGTAAATTTGATTGAAGTACTTTATATCCATTTATGGAAATACCACAACAAAATCCCTTACTTTGTGTAATTAATGTATGTTAATAAAAAAGAAATATTTTAGGATAAGAAAGCTTCACCCAGTGTGTCCTCTTATCTTTGATATTCTAAATAAGTGAATTCTAACCTAGTAACCACTTCGCTACTTGTAGGTTTCACTGGGGTCTTTTTCCAAAAATTCCAATGAAATTGCAAATTCCTATGATGTATGTTTCAAGCTATGCTACTTTTTTGTTCTGGGTAGCACTTAGTTCAGTGTCTTTTTCAGAAAAAAAAATTCAACAGATAATATTTTTATCACTCTCATTTGTTCCTTCATCTATTTTTGAGCAAATATTTAATATCCAGTGTATGTCAGACATTGTTCCAGGTACTCAGGATATAAAGGCTACTGTGGCAGAAATAACTCTCGTTATTTATATTCTAGGGAGATATTTAATAGTCTAGTAAATAAATAAGGAAACAGAGTAATTACACATTGCCAGAGTTACTTGAAATGGTTCTGGATGGACAGTAATCATGAGTGTCTTCTCTACATTCTTTTCCTATGAATGTTTTTCTTGTTGTGAGAGAATTATCACAAGAGAATTAAATGGCTTATAATTGAAAGAAAATTCTTTTTAGCAGAGTGTTGTGCTCATGAGTTTGCCATTTGTAAAGTTGAGAACATAAGAACTGTCATGAGTTATATGTTTTGGGTCTGTTAGTGGATTTTTACTTTTGAGAAACTAATTCTACATTATTTCTTTCTTCCTTTTCAGTAATTTGCCATCTTCCATGTATGAATGGGGGCCAGTGCAGTTCAAGGGACAAATGTCAGTGCCCTCCAAATTTCACAGGGAAGCTTTGTCAGATCCCAGTCCATGGCGCCAGTGCACCTAAACTCTATCAGCATTCCCAACAGCCAGGCAAAGCGTTGGGGACACATGTCATCCATTCTACACATACCTTGCCTCTAACCATGACTAATCAGCAAGGAGTCAAAGGTAAGCTTTTCATTATCATTTGCGCATTGACTGGGCCAAACCCATAGAGAAGCCAAGTCTCTGCAGATGGTAGGGCTATTATTGGAACAGAAAGGAGTGTGTGATCTGTGGCCTGAGAAATGGTAGTTGATATAGAACATTGGCTTATGTATGTGGCTGCAGGACTTTCTTGGCCATAGAGAGCTGTATCTGGGAAATAAGAAAGTAAAAAAGGAGACCATCCTTCCCTAGAGACCATTGCACTAAGAGCTGATGGACATGCATGGCACTCAATCTGGCAAGGGCTGGGAAACAGAGGAACAAGTCCCAGCAGTAATAAACTAGTGGGATGTGCAGAACCTGCTGATGAATTTTGTAGTTGGAGAACTCGCTGTCAGTGTTAAATGGTCATGAAACCTCACTGGGCTGGAAGGTAAACTAGGTTGCTTGGCGCTCAAAAGTTCTATGACTAATTCATTCTTTCAAACCTGGCATCTTTATAAATGCACAGTTTTAAAAAGGGGAGCAGAGAAATGTTACTAGCTCCTATTCTTTAAAACTTGAATCTTTGTATCAGAAGATGAGTTTTTGTTTTAAAGGGGCAGAAGGTCAATTTTATAAAATAGCATGCTTTGGTATTTGTTATGTGTGCATGTCATACACAAAAGTATATACATACTGTATTGTTTATTGATAGGAAGCTCATGTATGTGAATTTCCACTTTTAATGGAAAAATATAAGTCCTAAAATTTCTACAATGGAACTTATATGAAAAATATAAACATAGTGAAACTAGAATATTACTGTCATTTTATAAGATGTGCTCACCTATGACAACAGTCACCATGAATTTCACAGTTTTGTGACTCTTAGGAAAAGAATTTTTTTCAGAATATGTTACTGTTAGAGGTTTATGGTTTTTATTTTTTTTTGATTGTTTGGTTTTTTTATGTTTTGAGGCAGGGTCTCTCTATGTAGCCCAGGCTGGTCTTGAACTTGTGATCCTCCTGCCTCTGTCTACCAAGTGCCACGATTATAGGCATATACTATCATGCTTGACTTTGTTAGAGGTTTTAATTTCTCTATAAGTGCAGGGTTTTTTAAAAAAATATACAAATTCAGGTATGTCATTTTGAGTATAGTTTTTGGTTCCTAAGAATTTTGACAGTTGTTCTGTAAAAAGGTACATTTTATGTATGGATAATTTACCCTATGTACAGTATAGATGCATACAAATATGTGTGTTAGTATAAAATTTATTCCATATTTTAAAAACCCTGACTTGTCTGTTGATCATTCATGACTCACAGATTCTTCTCCATCTGTTTCAGTGAAATTTCCTCCCAACATAGTCAATATCCATGTGAAGCACCCTCCTGAGGCTTCTGTGCAGATACATCAGGTTTCAAGAATTGATGGCCCAACGGGCCAGAAGGTAAAAGACTCTCAAGCAGGCCAAGCCCAAGTGTCTTACCAGAGCCTTCCTGTCCAGAAGACCCAGACCGTGCATTCCACGTACTCCCACCAGCAGGTTGTTCCACACATCTACCCTGTGGCTGCTAAGACACAGCTTGGCCGATGCTTCCAGGAAACCATTGGGTCACAGGTAAGCAATGTTGCCCAGCCCATTTTAGAAATGAGTTCTAGATACGGTATCATTCCATAAGAAGGCCAGACTTGGTAAAAATAATTTTCTGTAACCTGTGGGCTTGGTTTTATAAATAAAGTTTTATTGGAACATAGCCATACTCATTCATTTATAAATTGTCTATGCCAGCTTTCATGCTGGATGGTAGAACTCAGTAGTTCTAGTGAGAACTAAAAATATTTATTCTGTGGTCCTTTACAGAAAAAACTTACAGATCTGTGACTTGTAGAATAATTTTAAGTAGCGAACATCTAGAAATGTTGCTGGAAGTTGATGATTGCCTGTTTGTTTTTTTTTTAGTTAGGGTTTTCTGTGTGTAAAACATATGTGAGACATGAGGATATATGGCGTAGGAGATTTATTCTGACAAGATTTTTTAAAATACCTGTGCATTTTGCAATAATTTATTAAATATAGTTGAATTTTAAACCTGTTATGCATTAACAATTCATGTAATCTTTTGTTTTGATAAAAATTTGTAACTAAAACAGCAATGCATGAATTGTTTGAAGTGTATTTTAAATATCATTGGCTATACTAAAACTTTAGACCTATATTTATATCTAAAGTGAGAGAAAGGCTATTTTCTTTAAAATTCATCATTGAGTATGCATAGTGAAGGCAGTGCAAAAGTTTGGGTATCTCTACCCCAACCAATTGGTTCCACTGTTTTGAGATCATGTGATAATGATGCAGGCTTTGTCCTGTGGTTTTCCTTCTATCCTTTGGTTATTGTTCAAACATGTTATAAAAAGAGTAAGCAAAGTGCTTTTACTATTATTCCTTTATGAATAGTAGAATCCATGGTTACTTAAACCACTTAGATACTGAGTAAGTCAATGTAGGGTTACCACCTTCCTTCTAGAAGAAGGAAAAATTGGTCTGTAGACATGAATGGAGGGCATCCCATGGGAATGGAAAGAGCATCAAGGGGCATTATAAGACTGGTTAGAGCTCCAGCCCAGCACTTAGTAGCAGGGAACCAACTTCATCTTCAAAGTGGAAGCAAGAATATGGTACTCATGGGTTTTGTTAAGATTAAGCAAGATAGTTAATGTGAGCCTTAGTTTGCAGATGTCATAGAACTTTGCAAATATTTGCTTAGAGGCTACTGATAGAGTCAAACTTACAAATAGTCAGAGTAGGTGGTTGTTTATACTTATGTCATGTAACTTAAGTAAGAAAGGGAAACCCTCAATCTTCCAGACACAACCTTTATCTGCCTGAAGATATATAAATGCCCACTGCGTGCCTGAAAGTGGGCTTGGGGGGTGGGAGGAGGTGGTACAGACAATGTATACACATGTAAGTGAATGTAAAAATGATAAATAAAAGGAAAAAAAATGCTGACTACAGAGCTGGTGATAGTTAATCTTCATTTTCAATTTCTTTGGATTGAGAAACTCACAGAGTAGAAGAGCATGCCTCTGAGGTATGATGTAAGGGTGTTTCTAGAGATGATTGCATCATGAGGGTTCTGACCTTATCAATGGTTTAATCCATTGATGGAGATTGAAAAATATTCGCATACACTTGGGAAGTGATGAAACAGTGGACAGTGAGGCCTCGTTGCTGGAAGTAGGTCTTTGGGGATATATCTTGCCCTGGTCCCTTCCTAACACTTCCTCAACTTCCTGGCTGCCATGAGTAAAATAACTCTGCTTTACCATGTCCTTCCGCCATGATGCTCTGCCTCACCCCAAGTCCAGAAACACAGACCCAAACGTCCTCTGAACTTTAACCTCTGAAACTGTTAACCAAAGTAAATCCCTCCTCCCTGAAGTTATTTTTCTCAAGTATCTTGTTACAGTGAAAAGAAATCTTGACTATCACAGGTCACCTGATACAGCTTTTCATTCCTCCACTGAAGGCCAGTATTAGCAAATGCTTTTGGGAAAAGGAACATCACCCATTTAAATTTATCTTAAATGTAGAGACTGGATTTCTGTGCTAAAGGCACAGATAGGAGCAGTGGGACTAAAGAAAAATTTCATAGTCTTCATGATTTTGCCACAGACTAGCTTTGGAGAGAGAGGGTGAATTTGGTGCCATTTGCATTGTTTAGTCATTCCAACTTAGGTTGGTCATAGAGAAAGGAAAAAGCAGATCCTTTTAAAACTGTGTGCCCAGTACCTTTCTCCCCAGTGTCCAAGCTGGAAAATGAGGCATAACAAACTTGTTATTCTTCTACAATACTAGGCAGATGATGCTAACTAGAAAAGATAAAAACAAATTATTTACTTATAGACCTAAAGTGGACTATATAATTGAAATGAATTGGATAACTAATGCAATTACCCAAATAATTCAAACTCATTGGAATGCTTTTGCCTTATCTGGATACTTCTCTGACTTTTGGTCTGAATGATCCAGACAGTGATCTCAATTCTTAATTCATTTTGCATGTGTAGTCCCCAACACACAGCTTCAAAATAAGACCTGTTTTCAAAAACTATCTTCCTGTTTGTGAGAAAAGTTGAGTGCTCATGATTGCCCAATTAATTTGTGCAATTAGATGACCCAAGCATTTTTTTAAAAACTGCATTACTAGCAAATAACCAATAGCATGTAGGTTCATCCTGAAAAGATGCTGGAAAACATTTGTGCTTTCTTTCTGTGGTTGGTTTGCAAACACAGACCCAGCAGGCAGGTATAGGTAGATCTTAAATAAATGGCAATCTCAATCAATCAAATAAGCAAAAAAAAAAAAAAAAAAAAAAACCCTGAATATATGTTCATTATTGTTTTTCTCACTGGGGGCTCTTATTAGTTGTAAATTTTAACTATTGAAACTTCTAAGGCAGTAGTTACCAGTAAGTACCTATGTTTATGTGTTGCTATGTGAAGTCATACACAAAATAAATTTGGCAGAAATAATTCTTGTTTCTGTGGCACATTCTAATAATTAGGTCATAAACTTGGGGTTGGAAACTCAAGATCAAGTGTGATCAATGTATTTAAAATCAGAGAAGCTTCAAAATTGTTTGGATGGTAGAGGAAAATGAACAACTGGTTAGAAAACCAAACTCACAGAGCGAAGGAGAAAAATTAAATAGAGGAAAGGGAACATTGCAAGAACTGGGTGACAAAGAGGAGTCAGAAGAGATCAGTGAAGAAAATAACGTGGGATTCCTGGCAGGCTTTCGCATAAATATTAAGCTTCTTAAAACTGAGGTACAGTGCAGTACAGATGACTTGGTGGCAAGGTCATAACATCCCAAAGCCCCCTTTGACCAAGTAGTCAAACTCAGCGTTGTTAATAGTGGGACAACGTGGTATCATGTGCCTCCTTATGTGACTAGTATGAAGTTTGAAGCACCACTCTTGAAGTATTCTTGTCAAAAATGTCTAACCAAACTTTTATACCTAACCTCCAGCTTATCCCTATAAGCTGAGGATAATACTGAGGATAAAGGAACAGGCTAAGAATATCAAAAAGGTAGATTCATAATGTAGGGCATTATTGTCTGATTTCCTAAAAAAAATTATATCATAAAACAAAAATGGGATGACTTTCCTAAAAAGAAACTAAAGAGACACAGCAATAAATATAATATATGAAACTTAATTGATTTGGGGTTTAAAAACAAAAAGCCAACCCAAAAGATCATTTGGGGAAATTTTTGAGAAATTTGAGTATAAATTGGCTATTAGATATTATTTTGGATATTAATCTTCTTAGGCATGATAATAGTGTTTAGATTATGTAAGCTAAATGCTGAAAGTTTTAAGGGTGAAGTGCCATGATGTCCGTAATTTATTTTAAATTTTATTTCACCCGTGAATATGGCAAAGTAACAATCGTTATTGACTCTGAGAGGTCTGTATGCAACGGATCACTTAGTATATTTGAAATTTTTCTTATGGGAAGAATAAGGGGGGAAAATACTAAAATTTCCTAGAGTTACAAATAGAATAATATATCTTTAAACTGAACTTAAAATGCAACATTAATACACTTTTAGAGAAAAAAATTTAATCATTTTAACTTTTCAGTGAGGCTGGGTGTGAGAATGGTAGACATAAGGAAGCCAGGGAAGAGAAGTTGGCCTTGTTTCAAGTCTGAAAAGATCAAGAGTTAGTATAAGTAGAGTTGAAAATAAATAAATAAACACCTTAAAATCAAAAGGATTTGATTTTGAGGTGTTTTGAATAAAAAGATCATGATGAGTTGGATTATTCCGAGTTTTCTTGTTTCAGAAATCAGACAGATGCTCACAATGATTGACTAGCTGACCCAATCCAGGAGTGTCTTGAAGGAAAGATGAGTAGTGGCATCTTTGTTATGGACAGCCCTGTCCTTAATGGATGCTAAGAATGGTATTTTCTTGAATATCAGTCAGAGAATCCAGTACTGTTTTAGAGATGTAACGGTAAGAGGATTTAATGGAAAAATTCAGTGATCAGCAAGTAGATCTCCTGATGATAGTTAAATTCATGACAACAGAAGACATTTCTTTGGGTTTTATTGTAAAGAGAAATCAGTAAGAATAGTGGGATTGGAAGTTTCCATAGTGTTTGCCACCTTGGCACAGAGTACCTATTATTTTACTGTTACAGAAAGTGATGTTCCGTCTTCGGGTTCTGTATTAGTTAGCTTTTAATCACTGTGAATTACATAAACAACTTAAGGGAGGAAGGATTTGTTTTAGCTCACAGTTTCAGAGGGTTTGGTCTGTGGTTTCTTGAGCCCATGCACTTGGGAAGCATCATGGCAGCAGGAGAATGTGGTGGAGGGGCTTTCACCTCACACCTCATGTTGGACAGGAAGGAGAGAGGGAGGGAGAGAGGGAGAAGAGAGAGAGAGAAAGAGAGAGAGAGAGAGAGAGAGAGAGAGAGAGAGAGAGGGAAAGAGCCAGGGACAAGATACTATCAAGGATCTGCCCCCCAGTGGCCTACTTCCTCTTGCTAGATTCCATCTTTTGAAGTTTCTAGAGCCTCCCAGAGTAGTGCAACCA